AGTTCCATTCCCAAGGTCTGTCCTTAAGTCGAATTTGTATGTAAGCCAGAACAGTATTATTATACAATACTGTATAAATAGTATTGTGTAATGAACAAACTATTGTGTATTTAACTCAAATCATTGTGTATTTAACTTGAATTTTGCTACAGTAGGCTCCACTCTTAACTATGGGTCATCTGTAAACCAGGCGTTCTTAACCTGAGGTCTACTTGTAATGCCAAAAATGACGCATTACTTAGTGTGCAAGCCTGAATCAGGATTTGGGATCCAAGTGGTGGTGAATATAAATTATGTTTTGTTACGAGCCTCAGCCATGTTTTACCATTGGCCTGTTAACTAGAGTGTCTGTGGGTCTACCAGACAGAGAGGTTTCTGCTAATGGAAGAGATTCCCTGGTTAATTTGTAGACTGTTATAATTCTGTAAAAGAAGACTCATTCAACAAGCTAGCTCAAGAGAGTAGCAGTTTCATTTCTTTGACAGGAGCAGCTGCAGCTCCCTGGCCCTTTATTTGTTCCGGCTCAACCCAGCATAATATCTGTCATATCTTGTTCTTTTATCTTAATTACCAGAGTCTATTCCTTCTCTCAGCCTTAGCTGCTCAAGCTTACGCCCTGAAGGAAGAGAATGACAGTCTCCGGTGGCAACTGGATGCATACCGAAATGAGGTGGAACTTCTCAAACAAGAGAAAGGGCAGCTTTTTCGCACAGAGGAAAGCTTGACGAAAGACCAGCAGTTACAGTTTTTGCAGCAGACTGTCCAAGGCATGCAGCAGGTACAACTGTCTAAAGTGTGATAGCCTGTCCCAATCATGTCCAAGAAAAGTTGAAGTTGCTAGTGTTCTTGTGAGTGGAGAAACATCCCCACGGTGGGCACAGTCCCTTGTGAACTGGCAGAAAGGAAGAAAACAGGCTGAGTTCTACTGAACTCCATTTCACCAAGAAGGATCGACCTTAAATTAGTGTCAGGAGCAGCTCCTTATCATTTAGAAGATGCAGCAGAGGAGATTTTGGGTGAAAGGCCTGCCAATGGTCTTTGCTTCTCAAAGTGCAGCTTCACAGAGCAAACCTTGCTACAGCATAACTGGGCTTTCTATGAAATAGGCATAGTTAGCACTTCAGAGTATATTTTAAATGTAGACTTAGTCTACCCCAATTAGACTAAGTCATGTGGTCACACGGGCAATTGAGAATTGCCTTCATTATCTTATATATGCCCCCAAGAAAGCAACTGAATCCAACCTGTAGTCCACAGACCACTGGGGGTCCACATGAATACTCCACATTGTCCACAGTGAAGGTGCCAAAATAATCACCTTTTTTCAGTGGCTGAAATTTCACTGAGATTTTGAAGGTTGCTTGGAATTCCCCAAGTTTGGCATCCTTGTCCCCAAAGTCACCGGACTTCAGGAAGAGAAGGCTTTAATCTCATCTAATTTAACTCTGTGGTTACACAGAGGCCACGGGGAGACCATACATATTATGGATCCTGCAGGTGGACATGGGCCATCTGCTGGCTTTCATGACCATCAGGAAAAAAAAACTTTCAGAGATGTTGTAGTGGAAATGGCTGGGAACCGCTCAGGTCTAGGAAAGAACATTATTTCTTCTGGAGCAATCTTGCTTTTTGCAAAAATATAGTGCATGAGGCCAAGCAATGCTTCTTTTGCAAATAGTAACAAAAACAATCTGCACGATAGACATGGAAATTTATCCTTGTTGATGAAGGAAATGACTATCCTGGAGGGAATAGGACATTTTCATTTTTTTCAATCAGGATAAGTAGTTGTTCTTGATGGAGGAAAGACAGATACCATCACAAACTAAATTAAAAATAAAAAAAGCTTCATGAAACAAAACAGACAGTGCTCTGAGAAGGGGACTTGCCTTCTATTTTTCATGTTTCTGTCCTCCAGTTTCTTCTAGGCAGAAAGAAGCATATTTTGACAAACTTAAGGAATGTTGCATCTGGAAAGATACAGTAGGAAGCACTGAGACTTAAACATGAAGAAAATAAATGTATCTTAAACACTTTTCTACAAAAACACATAGAATCTCACACTCTCATTCAGGAGTGTGGAGCTAATCATTGGTGATGTCACAGCTACTGAACCCCAAGAGTGCTCACCATTCTGTAAGGGTGACCTCAAATGGGATAGAAAAACTACTTTAGAGAAGATGATATTTTCTATGCAACAAATATTGCTTCTTTAGGGTAAAGGCATTTTAAATTATCTGCATTCACTCAGGGAAAGATGTTTGGATCTACTGTGATAGTTGAGGAAATCCTGCATGTTCTTGTGCCCTGAACTCATATTTGGAGGTGGGGAAAAAAACCACTATAGCCAAGGAAAACATCTGTCAGAGGAAATAGATGCTTTCCCTGCTTAAAAAAAATTAATGCAAAGTTCTTTTTTCTCTTTTTCTTCCTTTTTCTTCAAGTTTTCAAGAGTCTTTTCCAAATTTTTAGAATGAGAAAAATCAGACAGTATATATATTTTGATGGCTAGATACTAGCCCCTGTTGGGTAGCAGTAACAATCTGTCTGAAAATGAAAATCCATTCAACTTAATGGCAGTTCAGGCATTACACTTACACATTTCTGAGATAATTCTCCCCCATAAAACTATGTTACAGTTTAATTTCATACCCAGTATGAGGCCTCTAACGAACACATGGAAATAATGTCTTGTATCCATGGTAACAAATGAGATTTTCTTTACCTGATCTTAAGATGGAATTGAATTATAAAACTATGACATTTTAGTACTGAAGGAAGCCTTCATGACTTATATTCCCCTGGCCTTAAAAACAGACAGACATTCCTTCCTTCTTGCATTTGAATTAGAACCATTCCAGTCTCAACTAAATCTTTTTTATAATAATTTTATTAAACATTATAATTAAGAAGATAAAAACTAATACAAACTAAAAAAAATTAAAAAAATAAAAGAATAAAAAGAAAAACATAGAAAGTACAGAAAAGAAAAAAATAGAAAGAAAAATAGAAAAGAAAGAAAAAATA